TTTCCTCCTCAAAGGTCTTTTCAAATTTGCGTTGTAAAGATCCAAGAAACATCAGACGGGAAAAGGAAAAACAGACCACATTCTGGACTGAATTATGCATAGTTTAACTCCACTAACTTTAGTGGTTTTGAGAAATCACTGCAGAATTTTATCCAAAAATGTTCTTTCATCTAAGAACAATAGGATTACTTAGTGATCCTGATTAAGCTATTCACTGAGTTTGACTCCCTACATAAATTAAAAAAGACAATCAACAAATTCTGTTGTTCTAAAATAAGACATGTCTACAGCAACACGGGCAATTCTTTCAGAAACTATGAGCAAGCATCTGATTAGGATGACAAGCCACATGGAAACTACTTCCAGAATGAGACTTAAAGGGCACTGTTACCAACCAAATTTGGCAGACAAGGAATCATGACAAACTGCAAAGGCACGCAGCAGTGCAATAAAAAGTTGGGAATCATCAGCAAATAAGACTGCAAGCACTTCTGTCAATTTAGCGAGGACAAGAACATAAACAAGATAAATTCTAAGCAATAAACACTGGCTTCAAACTAAATGGCACTATGCCATAGTGGGAGTGGATCCGGGTCTTCCATTTACAGATGGCTTGCCATAAACAAGCTCTATCAGTATGGCAAAATATCTACTTATTGCAGATAGCTCATTCTGATGTCTTTCAAAACAGCACACTTTCAGAACCATTTTGATTATAAAAACAGGACGCTTAAAAGAGAAAGAACTGAAAGCATGGCACATATAAGGCTCTGTGCTTTCTTGAAAGGTGCATACAAGCTCAGAAATCTTACAAATATCTAGTATTTGTTACTGGATAACAGCAGGTATCTAACATAGCAGGTATCTATAGCTATCCATCATTAGATTTTTCTATTGTTAGTACACAGTTATCCTGCACATGAGATCACTGTGCCTTCAGACAGTCTTTATGCTAAGGAGATAATAGCTAGAATGCCAGCTGAAGCAGAAAAGCCAGCATTTGTAGCAAACTTGTCAAGTATCACAGGGAGATTACCTGAACTTTCATTTCTGTTTCCAGGAATATTAAGATGTACCAAATACAGCTATATTAACTGGGAAAGAAGACAGTAAGAAATAAATTACACTTTGCCCTTTGCACCTACTGTATTTGTTAGCAGTGTAGTACAGCGAGTGAGCATGCTAAACTCCCTCTAGAGAACGACGACCAAATTCTGAGGGCATCTGTCAAGTTTAAGCTCTACTTCTGATCCATAAAGCTAAATTTACCAAGCGGGTGAGAGTTAACAGAACTGAACTAGTATTTATTTGATCAAGAACTGCTGCATCAAGTCAACAACATAGGTGTCGCGAAAGACATCTAAAACCTACAGTCTTCCTAATTTATCGGTGTGTCCACGCGATACAGCGGCGCAAGGACATTCCAGCAGTGCAAAAAAAGATGAAAGTAAGCCTAAGAAATTTGAAGAGGGATGGAGAATAGTCTTTTCTATTAGACACTAAAACTTTATCAGGCGAGGCAGGAAGGTAAGCGGCGTCCGGTTCTCAGGCCACAGAAAGGGATGATCCCGAGCAACCCACTCGAGGGCGCCCCGGTGTACAAAACGCCTTCTGAACGCCGCGTATCCTCTCTGCTGCTCTGTCTGGCAAGGCAGCGTTTCTGCGCGTCTCTACACACGACTAATTTCCTGCGCTCCTCCGCTTCGCCCGCAGCCCGAGCACCCAGCCGGCTTTCTCCCGCCGCCGCGGATCCATTACCGGCCTCTCGCG